AAAAAGATGTTTCTGTCGCTACCTAAATAACTCCCCCCCTAACCTAAACCCTAACCCCTAAACCCTAAACCCTAAACCCTCGCCGCACCTGATGGTTCTTCCTGCTGCTTGTTGTTTTGCTTTTTTTTCTGTTTTTAAACTCTCAACAACAAACTCCCCCCTAACCTAACCCCTAAACCCTAAACCCTAAACCCTAAACCCTAAACCCTCGCCGCACCTGATGGTTCTTCCTGCTGCTTGTTGTTTTGCTTTTTTTTCTGTTTTTAAACTCTCAACAACAAACTCGCTGCCTAAATAACTGCCCCCAATGCCGATACAAATTATATTTTTTAGGGTTTCGCCCGTCGCGCCCTTCAGGGTACCTGCAACAAACCCTAAACCCTAAACCCTAAACCCTAAACCCTAAACCCTAAACCCTAAACCCTAGATCCTTAAGGGTCAGGTGGAGATCGGGGGGGAATAGGATATTCCCTCAAGGGCATCAAAACCCTAAACCCTAAACCCTAAACCCTAGACTATGCAGCTGAGGCCCAGCAACCTAAACCCTAAACCCTAAACCCTAAACCCTTAAACCCCAGAGCGTAGACCCTGAAAAGCAAACCCTAAAACCCTAAACCCTAAACCGTGTAAACCTATAAACCCCAAATCCTCCCCCCGCAAACCCTAAACCCTAAACCCTCCCCTTCTAAACCCTAAACCCTAAACCCTTCCACGCTAACCCCTAAACCCTCCCCCCGTAAACCCTCCCCCCCTAAACCCTAAACCCTCCCACCCCAAACCCTAAACCCTAAACCCTAAACCCTAAACCCTAACCGTCTCTGATTTGAGTAGAGAAGAGTTTAATTTTATCTAATACAGCATAAACCTCCTCGGTGATGTTCTCTCCCTCTATTTGTAGTTTTGTGTTTCTGGGGGCCCGCAACGCTGCATGCAAAACCCTTCTGTTTTCTGTTTTGTTTATTTTTTCTCCTTTAAACATTGCTTGTACTTTCTCTACTACCTGAAACACACAAACCCTAAACCCTAAACCCTAAACCCTAAACCCTAATCAGGCGGGGGGAAGATACAGTGCACACACACAGGATATACACGCTAAACCCTAAACCCTAAACCCTCATAAACCCTAAACCCTAAACCCTAAACCCTAATCAGGCGGGGGGGAGATACAGTACACACACACATGACATACACCCTAAACCCTAAACCCTAAACCCTCAGAGGGATATAGAGATAGACACAATAGATAAACCACAGAAAATACAATGCTGTAAACCCTAAACCCTAATCCCTAAACCCTTAAACAAACCACAATACCTTGGACTAACCCTAAACCCTCAACTAAACCCTAACCCTCTGCGCAAACCCTAAACCCTAAACCCTAAACCCTAAAACCCGGCAGACGCCACTGGATATAAACCCTAAACTCTAAACCCTAAACCCTAAACCCTAAAGGGAACAACAAACCCCCAAAGCTGCTGCAGGAGACAGAGAAAACAAGCGAGGGTTTAGCGTCAATGCAAAGAAACAAACACAAGAAAGGAGCTCGACCCGCTGTACCTAAACCTTAAACCCTAAACCCTAAACCCTAATCCGCCTATTATATAGCATAAACCCTAACAAGCTGCTGCCACTAGGGTTTAGGGTTTAGGGTTTAGGGTTTAGGTACCTTTCGCTCCTTCGCCAACTCTATCAAGGCATCCAGGCCCTGCTTATCGAGCAGCTGTCTGCTGAAGTCCATGCAGACACCTGCGTACAAACCCTAAACCCTAAACCCTAAACCCTAAACCCTCAAACCCTAAACCCTCAAGCCCTAAACCCTAACCCCCTGGCTAGAAGGGAGTCAAGCAAAACCTCCGCTGCGAACTGCAGAGACGTCTCTTTACGGCACAGCAGAGGTTAACCGAGGGTTTAGATTCTAGGGTTTAGGGTTTAGGGTTTAGGGTTTAGGGTTTATGTACCGCCGAATTCTCTATACATGCGTTGGTTGCGGTCCTCATCCTGCATCAGCTCTCTCAGGTTGTGTTTTTTTTCTTTTTGCTGCTGCAGCAGCCCGAGAGCTTTTGTGTTAAGAAACTCAGAAGACATCTTCACAAACCCTAAACCCTAAACCCTAAACCCTAAACCCTAAACCCTAATGGCTTCGACACACAGTGATTGTGCGACCAATTGAGGTCACAGCAATTCTCAGGGAAACGGAAAATAATATTATTAAACAGAAGAAGAAAAAAATAACAAAATGATAGTGTAGTTGCTGCAGCAGCAGCAGCAGCAACAGCAGCAGCAGCAGCAGCAGCAGCAGCAGCAGCAGCAGCAGATGTATAACTGCCCTGCACCGGCGCGTGCTGCGGTGGCTGCACACAAGCTTCAGGTGTATATACAGCTGATTATTTCTTTTTTTAAATATTTAAATATTATTATAAAAATAAATTTAAATTCTTTTTTGCAGTTTTATTCTTTATTAACCTCCTTTGATTGGGGTGTATGTACACCAGCCGCAGCCGCCTGCGGCTGCTATGGACGATGCTTTTCTCGTCTTCTATAAAAAAAATAAAAAAAATATAAAAAAACAAACGAAATTAATTAAATAAATATATTTAATAATTAAATAAATATATTTTATTTAATTTTATTGGTTTATAAAGACTGCAGCAACACATACACATACTAACCTGACACCGCAGAGGTGCCTATACACCCCAGAACACAGCAACAAACCACCCGCTATACAAAAAACAAAAACAAATAAATCATCATTTTATTTTATTTTATTTTATTTTAATTTTTTTTCCCTTTTATTCGCTTGAGACAACGCGCCCGCACACCCGCGTACACATACAGATAAGTGTTTATGTGTTTATATATATATATATATATATATATATAT